AATCAGAATCTCCCCTCCTCTAGGGTTTGTTGCTGTTGCTGTTTACTGTTGTTCTTGTTTAGTGATTCTTTTTAGAAACAAATTCTTTAAAGGCTATATTCTTTGTTGTGTGTGGCCACTGAACTCTCTTCCTGGTTAGCTTAGTCTTTGCTCAAGGGCTTTGTGTCTGTGGGGCACACTTTCAACATTCAGTCAGGGAGCTGACATCTCTGCCTTACCATTCAATTCCTGCTTGCACAGCCTGAAAGTCAGAGAGAGGTGAGAGCTTATGGCCTACCCAGATCTTTCCTGAGCATGTGAACAGCCCTAGATATGTACAAGGCTTTCTTGATTCCCAGGAATATATTGTAGCTTTTTAAAAGCTTCTATGAAAATCTCATTCCCCAACATTTCTTTTTAAGCTTTTAGGCTAGCTTTTTGTTTGCCTCAATTGTTATCCACTGCCTCAGGCAACAATGAAGTTACCTCTAAAAGTTTGGCAAATGCCCCTGGAGAAAAGATTTTTTTGCATTGGGTGATCTCTGAGTCAGGCCAAACAAAGACAGTGTTACAAGTGGAGTCTTCCAGGGAACTACCAGACAAATCAAAAACTGACAATATGCAGGAAATGAGGTTTTGAAGGAGTTTTATCCCTGTTCTGCATTCTCCGGTAGCTGCCAGGTTGCTCGTTTTCATGATGATTGTGAACTGATTGTTTTTAAAGTTACTGTGAACCTGCAGAGAGGAGATGGAAATTGGGGAAGTTACAGTACTATGAAACTCACTGTTCTTAGCAAGAATCAGCCTTTTTCCTTAAACAAATTCTTCCTAGATAGCTGTAAACCTTTGGTCAATTTCCAGAGCTATGAAAAAAGTTGGTTCTCACATTTGTCACCTTTCCTGTTCTTTTTAATGGAAGTGACAGTTGTTGAAAGTTCTTATTCTTCCAATTTTGCTGATACCACCCACTATCTGGGACTTCTAGAATGAGATATTCTTGGAGACTAAGCAAACTAGAATGCAATATATACTCTTTCTAGAAGACAACTTATAATATTCCAAAATAAAAACTGCCATTTTTGGATTTTTACAATTAAACCATAAAGAATTGAGTGGTGTCAAGAACTTGAAACTTTGACAATTCAATTCCAATTCTCTACATCTTACCTAATTTCCTTATAATAATTTGCCTGATTTAATTTTCATACCATTTTGAAAACAAAAAGTCTAATTTAATTAGTGGCTCAGCAGAATTAGAGACAAAAAAGTGTATTAATTAAAAGTTCAAGATAATAATCTAGGAATTTCCTTAATAGAACCTGTATATGTAAGTATAAAAATATCACCCAGTCAGAAGTAATAACCTAATATAAATTCGCCCAGCTTTCACTTAATAGAAACTTCTTATTCATCCCATGTTCATAAGAATCAATATCACTTTTTCATACGTGTAAAAGAAATTCCAAACCATTTAGGAATAACATACCTTTTTAGGAGTCTAATAAAAGCTGTGGACACTCTTTCTAGTAAAATAAACATAATTCTGCTTACAATTTCATGGAATTATTGGATACCCTGCAACCTGGAAGATAAGAACCCCTATTAAACAAAAACATTATGATTTTTTTTTTTTTGAGACCAGCCGCACCACGCTCAGCCAGTGAGCGCACCAGCCATCCCTATATAGGATCCGAACCCGCGGCAGGAGCGCTGCTGTGCTCCCAGCGCCGCACTCTCCCAAGTGCGCCACGGGCTCAGCCCCCCAAAAATTATGATTTTGATGGTAAAAATAGAGAACAGATATACAAGTAATAATAATATATCATCTTCAGTAGAGCTATAAGAATTTCAAATATTAAAACATATATAGGTTGTCTCCAACTAATAAAAACATTTCATTTGAAAAGTTAATTTATAAGTTATTTACTTAGAATTTATTACATATTTTTCTAATAAAAGCTATGTAATAAACAATGGTTGGGGATTATTAAAATGTATGTCCCTTAAGGGCTGGTGCCCTTTTTATTTGTCTCTGTATTAAAATGATCTACCCAAATAAATAGCATGTGATAGGTTCCCAGGTGACCCTTTATGAAACCTATTTCACTCAATAATATATTTGAATACAAATGCACTAAGAAAACAGAAAAACATATTGAGGTAATGACAAAGACCAAATACACCACAAAGCCAAAAGTAAAATAATAAACTAGAAAAAGAAAATAATAAAGAATAAAATATATTTTAAGTTATCTGTTGCTTAGAAGATAGGTTTAGAATGCAATCTTAAATATAGATATTTCTAGATCTCTTATTTGAACTTATGAATTCCTTTTTATTGTATTAAATTTCATTTCAAAATATGTGTCTTCTTAATACAGCATGTTCTATGCTTAGCCATGAATGAAGTCATTTTTGGACCCTAACAATTTGTAAATGAACTGGAAGAGCAGGAGGATAAGATATTTTGCCTGTAGTGACTGGAAAGGGGTTGAAAGAAGTTGGGTGGGGGGAGGGAGGGTCATTGTTCAGAGAGGTTTTATGTAATAAAATAATTTCCTATTCAGTACATATATGAGTAGTATACATTTTATAATAAAATGTGTCCAAGTTAGAATAAAGTAAGGTAGTGTGAACATGAGCAATAGAGAGTATGGGAATCTCACTGCAAAAAAAAAAAAAAAAAAAAAATTGGTGGAGGTAGTGAAGATGAAATTTTGATTCTGTTTCTCAGTTCACTTTATAATGAGTCACTGTGCTAAAGAAAATGAGAAAACTATATCTGGTGCCATAAATTTGAAAGGACAGTTGCATATTTTCACTTGAATACCATTGAACTCTGACCAAAATCATGAGTAATATGAATAATTCAACTAGATGTCATTTAATATCTATAGGCTGTGGCCTTATCATATAGGACAGAAATGAAAAGAATACAGGATGCCATGAAATTCAAAGAGGCTTAAGAGTATGAAGGATCAGTGGAATGGTCTGGCCTTGTGTTCAGAACAGAACTGGAAGACATTTATATAGCCAAAGCAATGAAGGAGTGAGCTATGACTTCAGTGACAGGCTCCTATATATTATATTAAGTAAAGACAGGACTTAAACCCAGGTATATGGACTATAAACCAAGCTCTCCTCCCCTTTTTAAGTTTGGAGTTTGACTCCCTGACTAGGTGACAATAAACAGAAGTTCAGCCTTGTATTCTGGGTCTAAAGCTCCAGAGATCTGGCTGAAGAAATCTGTCAATAAACAACCTCAGCCAAACGGGAAGGTAACTAATTGTCTCCCTAAAAAATGTCTTTAGCCTAGAGAGATTTAGAGTTAGTATACTGATAAGATAAATCAAACCTCTGTTATTAATAATTTGGGGTTAAGAAATAAGTTATGAATGTTTATTTTAATTATTTGTAACAATGCTTAAGAAAATTTTGCCTATATTACTCCAATTTAATATATGTAATTGAGTAATTGGTTTAGACTTGTGATTTTAAATTGAAATTTTACTAAGTCTATAAACAGTATCAGAATATTTAAGAGAAATAAAGATTCAATACATCTATATGTTTTTTTTTGTTTGTTTGTTTGTTTTGTCTTTTTTTTTTTTTTCCGTGTCCGGCAACGGATTGCAACCCTCAGTGTCGCGCCCGTACCGGACCGGGACCAGCAACGGGATAGCAACCCTCAGTGTTGCACCCGCACCTCACTCAGCCAGTGAGCGGGAACTGGTCTATATGTGGGATCCGAACCCTCGGCGGGAGCGCAGCTACACTCCCAAGCGGCGCACTGCAGCAGTGCGCCACCGGGCTGGCCCAATACATCTATATGTTTAATGAACTAAATTTATACAAAAAAGTTAAAAGAAACATAACTTAGTTGCAAAGCCTGCTTAAAAGTAAATTTTAAATTTTGCTAAGTGCATCAAATAATTTATACTCAAAAGCAGCAATAACTAATTCCAGAGTATGAAACCATAAAGTATAAAACATCTAAATCTTACCATAAAATTTTAAAGATTAAAACACTAAAAATAAATCAATTAATGATTCTTTGTGAAAAGCAACTTCTAAGAATCTTCCTTAATCATTATATGGATAATAATAATTCAAAAGGTCACAAAAGTATTTAGAAGTAATAATCCTGAAAAAATACCTGCAGGAACAAATTAACTTGGAACTCACAGTATGTGGGCATCTAACTTCTCAAAGTAAGATAACTGGATAAAATATAAATAGGCTACTCTGCCTTGATTTTCCATCTAAACTATCAACTGCATTGCTCTTGGTATTAAAAAGGAAAGGAATAAAGAAGGATCCATCTTTTACTGGACTGTAGAAAAGTCTAAAGTTAAAAGATAGGCTAAATAGAAAAGTTAATGCAATAACTAATTGTGCCATCTGAAATATGAGCATATATGAATCATAGTTACACGAAACCCTGGCTTAAAAAAACTAAAAAATAAATAACTTTAAAATACATACTGTTTATAAATATTTATACATATGATTTTCCATATTAATGTCTTGAAACAAAATTTTAAGTCCTGCAAATTCTAACAGCACTGGTCTTTCAAATTTTCACACATATACCACATATGACTTAAGCAAAATGTGATATATGAATCTTCTAACTCTACTAGATCATAATCCTAAAGGTAGTAAGTTATGCACTGGGAGGGAACACAGCTTCTTTTCAATCTTCAATTACCATTCTTGTCATTATTTACACTCCTCCCCTTCCCATCCCATGTCCCACACCATAGAATAAAAGTTAGATCAAAATATATGTCCAGATTTCAATCCTAGATGACTTTATAACTCTGTAAATTATCCTGTTTTTCAATACCATGTTCTAGAATTCTGGCAAACCAAAATGGAGTTTAAACTGTCTCCACCCAATTCCCACTGCATCACACCCTCTGCTTTCCCTCCCCCAGATGAAGGTTAAGTTGATAAATGGATTTTGGAGATGGAATAAAGCCAGACATCAAATAACTTACTTGAAATCCATCTCTTACCTTCTGTACTTAACCCTGGACTTGATGTGAACTTGGCTACATCAACAATTTTTACAGCAAACTGTTGCCCAGTTTCTCTGTTGATACATCGTCGTACAACACTGAAGGGACCCCTAAAAAACAAAAAGTTAGTTTTTTAATTCAATGATTTTCTTAAGTTCCTATTTCCCATCAATGTTTTACTATGTTTCATTGTCAGTACTATAGCCATACTACATAACCACCAAGCCACTCTATTTTAGACTCCAGATGGAATATAGTTTTCAAAATAAAATTTAAGTAATATAATTTTGAACGTATTTTTCTATAATTCATGTGGTAATTCATAATTTTAAAATGTTATTAAACCAGAAAAACAAGACAAATAATCAAAAATCATTTTTAAAAAATTCTAAATAGTATTTTGTTCAAGACAAATAATCATTGTAATATTCTATACAGATTATCAACATCCTAAACAAAATAAGCAAAGTCCATAGTAGCGGTAGTGTACAGAACTTTATTCTTTTGAACCAGAAACTGAAGTCATTCTTGACACCTCCCTCTCATCTTACCCATCACTTACCTAATCTTCACTAACAAGTCCTACTGAGTTTATTTCAAATACCTCTTAAACCTGTCCACTTCTCTCCATGTCCCACGCACTAGTCTAAGCTACTCCCATCTTGTACCAGGACTACTAAAAAACTTGGTTGTTCCATTCATTCTTGCAGTGATGTTTGAAAAATGATAATCTGGTATTATATCCCTGGCTTAAAACCCTAGAAGGAGAAAGAAAGTATTTGCAATACACATATCTAGTCAAGAACCAAAACACTTGTATATAAGTAATTCCTAAATAAAAATAAACAAAAAATTCCAAAACAAATCTGGCAAAATACTTGAACAGGCACTTCACAAAGAGAAAGCCCTGTATGATTTGGTCTCCAAGAACCTCTCCAGACTCACCTGAAATCACAGAGAAATCTTTCATCCTCCTCAAACTTCAAATTAGAATTGTTCTGAATTACTACAGGAAAGGAAGTAATTTCTACCAGCAGAGCCACTGGTCTAGCTATGGCCTTACCTAGTCCTCTTCCTTAATCTAAATCGGAGGCTTTCAATACTGGCCACACAGTTGAATCAGCTGAGATGATTTTGAAAATGCCACTGCCAAGGCCATAAACACACACACACACACACACACACACACACAGTTCTTTGTGATTTATAGTTTTCAAATAAATATCTGAACTCAAGATAATCCAAAGATAGATTTGTGCATCTTCAAATTGACTATTCTGACTATAATACAGAATACAACAGCAATATACTATAGTAGTTTATTTGAAGGCTAGTATGGTTTAAGTCATTAAATACACACACATACGTACATGTATACATGTGTGTATTTTTCCCCACCTGGGGAAAAAAATAGGAAAACAAAAACACAGCGTCATTGGCTTTTACAAGCACAAACAGTACACCTGGATGCAAGTATTCAATTAGCAGGTAGAGAAAAGTTCTTCATTCATACTAGAACACTTGTGATACTGTTTGCCTTAAAGTAAAATTGTCTTCTTTCAATTAAAGGACAAGCAATTGAATTTAATGTAACTCACACTTAAACATTTCTCCAAGAACACATGAATGCCATCATGAAGATATTATATTAATCATACCACAGCTTTAAATCTATCTCTTCAAGCAACTTAACAAAGCTAATCTGGAAGGAAAAGAAATGGTAATAATATACCTTTCAGAACTCTATAGAAAGAGGACCTTTCAATAACCACTGTTCAAAGATTTTCCTCTGTGAGAAGACACTATAATAAAGTGAGGAAGAACTCCCACAAATGTTCTCATTTTCAACCTGGATGTCTTACCTGTGATTACTTATCCTGACAATAGCAAGCAATATCAGGAAATTCTTACTGTAATTGGTTTTTGTCCACACATAAACCCTTGGGACTCTATTTATATAAACATTTGTGTAGTGTGCTTCAATCTTTTTGGAAACTTTCCAAGATCTCTATGTGGGATTGTTCACGGTCAATTGAGTCAATTCTTTACTTTTTCCTGCTTGAACAAAGGTGAGAAAGAAAGCATAGCTCCTCCTCCCACCCTTTTAGTAACAGTAAAATTAAGAGAGCTTGGGAGGGAAGAGAGAAAAGGGAATAGTGAGACAACAAAACACAGAAATTTTTTAAAATCTGTGAATAAAAATCACAAACCAAATCCCCAATTTGTTAAGCTAATTTTATAATATGAGGCAAAGAAAATGAGTATACCTATGAACTTCTGAGAACCTGAAGACAAGTCACAAGTAAAGCATTTTAAGGGTCTGTCCATCAATGACATCCAGGGTGAACCAAATTTAATACCCTGAAAGATATCAACATACCCTTTGAGGGTGTTTTTTTGTGTGTGATTTACTCCATCAACTACAAACTCAGTGGAAACTGATAAATATTCAAGATTTGGCTTGATCTCTCATTTTAAAAAGGGAGGGGTAATAAAGTGTGTGTAACATCTACATCATTATACTATTATACTTGGATGACAGTTAGGAATAAGAAACAGCAAAAATTCGGGAGGTCTAGGTTTCAGTCTGGCTTGTACCCTTTTTTTGATGCTTGAAATTTCATTCTTAAATTTTTAAATCCATGGTACAGTCATTTTGAGTGTGAGAGGTCTCCAAAAAGTCATGGAAAGATTCATATTATCTTTCAATTCCATTTTTCTATTATCCTCATATTTATGTGTGTGGGGGGAATACTGATATAATTGTAAGCCATCATCATAAACTACTATCTTTCTCATATTTCCAGTAATTATGACCAGGATATTACTCAAAATGGAATGATGAGATCATTAGTGGCATTTTAGATTTGATAAAATATGAGTATATATTCTTTATTCACCTCTTCACAAATAATGAATATTGATTGGGACTGTAACACAAGGTTCTACTTGAGGCAGATGGCTGCTCCCAGAGGTCTGTTTTTAAGTAAAAGGTAAATTAACCTAGAATGTGTTACAAGTGAAAATTGCTATTAACATCTCCTAAAGCTTTAAAAAGAATACAGATGTGTCCCTGTACAGACACAGAATAATCTCTTCTAGTTTCCATTTATGTGAAAAAAGGTTAAGTCTAGGAAATAAACAATCCTGATACCAAAGATAAATATATCAAAAAAGGAGACTAGAACTAGATGAAATTATGCTAGAATATAGTATGCTGGTTTCCAGGATAATAGGATAGATTAAGCACAGTGCATCCAATTTATCTCCCTCTCCAAACTCCACTAAAATGATACCAAAAGGGTTTTTTTAAGAAATGGACTGGGAGAACAAGAGAGGAAACAATACAGGTTGAGCATCTCTAATCTGAAAATCCCAAATGCTCCAGAATCCAAAACTTTTTGAGCACCAACATGATGCTCAAATGAAATGCTCATTGGAGCACTTCAGATCTGAGATTTTTGGATTACGGATGCTCAACCAGTAATCTGAAAATATTCCAAAATTCGAAAAAATCTAAAATCCAAAACATTTCTGGTAGCAAGCAGTTTGGATAAGGGATATTCAACCTGTAGTAATAAGCAAATTTGGGAGGAAAGAAAGCAGATGGAGTAGTGGAATTGACTTAGCAGACTTGGGAAAGCTGACTTGCAAAGAAAACATAACCAAACCTATTTACACTGTAGAGTCATCAAGAAGATCATGAACTGGTAGCACTAAACAACTCAGGAACTAGAAAAGAGGATGGGTTAAAATAACAAGGTTTGAATGAAATTTGTTGAAGAAGCAGTTAGAACCCTAGATCCTCTCCTCCACTCCATACCAGGGGTGACTGCCCCTCCCTAGCAAATTCATTCTCTGGAGAAGGTAAAACATAGGGAGTCAGAACTAGAGACACAAGGCTACTGAGGAAATGGTATTATACGTAAAGCGAAGGGATTATTATGTGGCCACATATGCACTGAATGCAGACAGCTCCAGTCCCTTTTCCCCTAACAGGGGGAATGTTGGAAGTCAGACTTTTACCCTTACAGCAGGAGATGAAAGACTTTCCTATTGCATATCTGACCAGCTCAGAAGGAAAGACCTAGAGATAATGACATGAGGTTCTCCAAACTGCTCAACTAGATCATTCTTCAGCTAAACCCAAAGTCAACAAGTTCCAACCACACCTTCAGAGCTCCCTCAATCAGCTTTCAGTCCACCTTCTGCAAGGTTTCCAACCTCAGCCCTATTAACATTTTGAGATGGATAATTTTTTGTTGTGCAGGGATGTCTTATGTATTGTAGAATGCTTAGCAGCACCCCTAGACTCTACTCACTAGATGCTAAGTAGCATTCCCCCACCCAGCTTTGACAACAAAAAATGTCTACAGACATTGCCCAATGTCCCCTGAGGGGCAAGATTGCCCCCAATTGAGAAACACTGCTCTATTCCTAATTTTGAGTAGACAACCAAGGCACCTAAGACATCTGGAGAAGAATCTCTAATTTGGAAGACAGAGCCAAAAACAAACAGAAAGGGCAACTTAGAGGAAACAGACTATACAAGAACACCACACCTCAAATTACCATTAATATCTTCAGAAAGATAGTACAACTATGAGACAAAAACGGAACTTTTAGAAAAAAAAAAAGAGTTCTTGAAAAATAAATGCACAAAGAAATTTAAAACTGAATAGAAGGATTGTCAGATAAAGTTGAGGGAATCTCCCAAAAAGGAGAGCAAAAATAACAAAAAATGGAAGGAAGGAACTTACAGGAATAATCTCAGAACTTAAATCATGAGTAACCCAAATTAAAAAGTACTCAGCAAAATAAATAACCCATGTCCATGCACACACTACTGTAAAATTTAAAATCACTGTGGACAAGGAGAAGATTTTCAAGTTTCCAGAAGTGGGGGTAAGGGTATGTGAGGGGAAGGAAGATACAGTTCACACACAATGGGTCAGAAATCATAATGGCTTCAGACCTCTCAATGGCAATACTAGAAGCAAAAATACAATAGAGCAACACCTTCATAATCATGAAGGAAAATGATTTCTAACCTTTAATTCTACATCCAGCCAGAGCATCAATAACAATAGACATTTCACACATGAAAAAG